CTGGTGATGGTGGAGATGATCGAGGAGGTGATGAGTCTCGGTGACGGACTTGAAGACGGAGCGCGACGGCGGCGGCGGCCATGCTGCAGCTGGCTGGAGGGCAGCGGCGTCCAGCCGGACATGTCCCCGTGACCGACAGTCCTCAGGTTCACTGAACCATTATATAGCACCAGGCAATTAAAATGATTGATTAGAGTATTTACACACACACAAGCGCGCACGTTGCTGGAAGTAGAGAGAACACGTGTCGCGGAGTTGAGGTTAACTCGCTCGGTAAACAAACAACACCTCACACGCGCGTATCGTGGCTACGGCGGCGGCTCACAGCAGCTGACTGCCTGTCGGCCGGCCGAGCCGAGCCGGTGTTTCGCGTCAAAGGCCGGGTTCCGGCTGGGCCAGCTGACGTCACCCGGGCCAGCGGCTGGGAAAAATCGGAACAGTTGCCTACGCTGCAGGCGCCGGTCGCAGTCCATTGGAAGTGCCGGAACAGGTGCCCTAAGATACAGGCGCCGGGCGCCGATCGCAACACTGCGCTTTTAAGTGGGGACGGGGCGCCGCGCCGCACCCCTCGGCCAGCGCCAGCCACCCTCTTCATCGCGGACCCTCCTCGCACTCGCGGCTCTTCATGGCCAGCAGGTCATTAGTCATTCAATTGCGACGCTATGGCAGCTAATACAATTTCTTCCTCGGCCCGAGACTGATTTGTCTTCCGTGCGGTGCCGACGTCGTCGTCGTGAGCCGAGCGGCGAGCTCTGCTGATCACACCTTGTCGACAAAAATGTTACCCAAAACTGAAACTGTTCTTTAACAAACAAACAAAAAAAAAACAATCCAAAAAAACAAATTGGTTATCAAAGGTGCTCCAGAAGTTCGCTGCTCGGGAATTTTCGACATCTTTTATTTATTTTTCGAAAAGGCGCGTATAAGGGTGTTCGACTAGGCTGGATATGATGGATGACCCCCTCGTATACACCGCTGAGCCCAAAACACCACCCCTACCCAAATCCAACAACCTGCTCCCCCGCCCCCCTCTGCCGCCCCCAGAACACATCTCTTTCGCGGGAAACAGATCAGATAAATCGACTCGCTCGACGGCAAGATTTAAAATTTTGCCGCGCTCATAAAAATTGGGGGGTGTGTTCGCAGAGCGAGAGAGAGAGAGAAGGGGGTGGGTGGGGTGG